GGACAGAGGGAGTACTATATTAGAATTATTTTGGTAATATGAAAATTATAGTGGCTAACTTTTTTTCAATAAGTACGCATTATTGCACAGCGTTATTAGCTTATAAGTTTTCATTGACTTAAAAAAAAATCAAATATTGACATTCAAACCCATGCATGCATCATGCATATTTGTAGTCTACCCAGCATTGTCGTGTCCACTACGGTTCTACCGTATCATAATCACAACTCCACTTATTTGACACCAAGGCAGCTGGCTGCCGGCAGGTCGGCTTACCGATCAACACCTCCTCTTGTCTATATATGATACTCTCATAATCTCATTCCTTTTTACCTTTTTAGCTAGTCAGTATTGACTTTTCTAGTGGGTAAACTTTGATTAATCATTTTAACATCTACCAGAGTATAATTTAGTAAAAGCTAAGTAGCAGTCCGTATAAAGTTAATACTTGCATGTAGTAGTATTTCTGATTCTAATGATCTTTCCAACAAGATATGAAATGCTTGAAATGGAAAAACATACAACAATATATAATCAGATAAAATACTACACGAATTCAGAGTGAAATCGGAAATGTTTATGAATTTTAGGTTAATAAGTATACATTGGTATTAGAGCTCAAAGTGATCTTTCAAACGAGATATAAAACGTTTGAAATGGAAGAACATACAATAAGGTCTTATGATCAAATCAAATATTTAACCCGTTTTCTGTATATAATATAGCGTTTTCAGAGTAAAAAAACGCATATTTAACATAATTGTAGTCTTGGATTCGAAATATAGTTCATTAGGTAACCATGAACATAGTAAACCTCATCTCTAGCTACGCTAGTGACAATATATTACGAGTTTAGAATTTTAATTTGAAGCCCTGTCCCAGCATGTTTGACTTTGATAAATAGTAGTAATCAAATTTTACCTATTTGCCCACCCTTAAGATGAAATATATCAATAAAATTATGTTCCTACTACATGAATAAAAAATCACTCTATATAATTGCAATACTTTGTGGAGGAGCACTTTCCCGCCTAAGACATTTTGGCTTTTCATTTTCGCTACTACTATTCATTTACGCTATCTTTTACGGAGTATTTTATTTTATTTTCTACTTTCGTATTCCGCTCTTAGAATGTCTCGCCATCTTTCTAATAGAATATATTTTAGGGATATTTGTTTCCTAAAATATATTTAGGAATATTTGTTTCCTTTTGTATTTTGAACTCTCTCAGTATATATAGATCTGCCAGGACTCATATTGGAGTACCTTTTCCCAAATATTCTCACATGGTATCAAGAGCCTAAAAGAAAAAAAAAAAAAAACCCTTTTTTTTTTCTTTTCTCTTCCCTTCCCTTCGTACGTCTCTCTCGTTCGATTTGTCGCCGCCATGTCTGATGAGGTTCATTCCTCGGCGTCGCAGACTACTTCAGCAACCACACCACCAATCTCTTCTATGGTGAGTGTTGGGTTCGGTTCTATGGCAGAATCCTCATCAGCCGTCACCATCTCTACGTCTCAGGCTCCATCTCAGCCGCTTATCTCTACTCCGGCGGAACAGTTCACCACGCCGCTGCCCTTCTCCGATCACATGGCGTCCTCCTTTTCGCCATACACGGCTGCTCCGAATTATTCTCTCTTCCATACGCTGCCTCCCCAATTCCCATGGCAACCAGCGACTTCTCTTCATCCACCGCCAGATGTTCGTCCGACACCACCAACCCCGCCCAGCTCTTCCTACTTTGGACCGTCGTTCGCTGGCTTTCCGGGCATCATGAGGCCAAGCCATGACAATCCCCTGTTTAGCTCTCCTATGGCTGTCATGGCTCAATCACTTTCTCATGGTATTGCTAATGTTGGGCAGATCGTGACTATTAAACTCAAAGCGGTAGAAGACTACTTGACATGGAGAACCCAATTTGAATCATTCCTTGTGTCCCAAGGCCTGTTCGGTATGTTAGACGGCTCTATATCGATACCTCCCTTATACACATTGAATTTTAATAATCAACAGGTCGTTAATACTGATTACTATCATTGGCTTCGAGTAGATCAAACAATTCGCTCTTGGTTGTTTGCTACTTTATCTCGTGAAGTATTAACTGATGTGCATGATATTAAACATTCATGTCGTATATGGGAACGATTGCAATCTCGTTTCATGTCAGCTAGTTTACCCAGAGCCATGGAACTTAAACGATTATTGTCTAATACTAAAAAGAAAGCTACTCAATCCATGGAACACTATTTGCGTGATCTTAAAAATTTGGCCGATGCTTTAGCTGCAATTAACTCTCCTGTGACTGATAGAGAATTACTTCAAAGCACCCTTGCTGGATTGGGACCGGAATACAGGTTTGTTACAGGCACTATATCTTTGTTTCCTGAGAGTTTTCCCCCGGATATACTCCATCCACGTCTCATGGAAGCAGAGCAACAACTCTTGTATCAACAACAGCACGATAGCTCCATTCAACCGGCTTTTGGAGTCCAGGTTCATGCCGGGCAGCATGGCCAGCCAGCTGCATACCGCGGCAGGGGCGGCCGCGGCAGAGGAGGCGGCCGGGGCAGACATGGTGGACGCGGCCGAGGGCGTTTCCAGCCCCACCAGGGGTACGGCCAGCAGGCTTACCAGCCACCGCAGGGCGTCGGGCAGCCTACGCAGGGCACTCCCGCCGCAGTGGTACCTCCGGCAGCAGGGGGTGGCTATCCTCCAAGGCCAAATAATGCAGCATCCGGTAAATCTGTTGTGTCAATTTTAAATATTAATGCTAAATCTACTTTTGGTACTCACTCACATTATGCAGGTTTCCCGTCAGCTGAGGGAATTCTTGGTTCAGTTCCTCCACCAGTCGTGTGTCAGATTTGTTTTTCTGCAGGTCATTCTGCCTTACACTGTCCGTCCCGTTTCTCACAACCTTCTGCACCTGCGTTGATTACTCCAAGTGGTGAATCAAATGATGCTTTGTGGTATCCGGACTCCGGTGCCTCGGCCCATATGACATCTTCTGAAGGTATATTGTCTAATAAATCCTCTTATTCTGGCTCCATGACTATTAGTGTTGCAAATGGTACTCAACTTCCCATTGCTAATATTGGTAATATTACATTACATACTCCCAGTCGCCCACTGTCATTAAAATCCGTTTTTCACGTGCCTCAAATTAAATTTAATTTAATTTCTATTCAAAAATTGTGTGCTGATAACAACTGTGTTGCAATTTTTGATAAAAACTCTTTTCTTGTTAAGGACAAAATTTCGGGGGCAGTTCTTCTTCAGGTGCAACGTAATGGTCATCTTTATCCCATCAGCCTCAGCCCTCCTGCTTGTGTTGCTTTAGCTTCTGTTGCTTCTTCTGGCCCTGTTTGGCATCGTAGACTAGGACATTGTGGTGATTCTATTTTGCGTCTGTTACGCACTAGAAACCTTATTACTACTTCCTCAAATTTTGAACATGATTGTGTTTCTTGCCGTTTGGGGAAATCTCAACGTTTACCGTTTTCGGATGCTAGTCATAATTCTTCTACACCATTGCAGTTAATTCATTCTGATGTGTGGCAATCTCCTGTTTTATCTAATTTAGGATTTAAATATTATGTATGTTTTATTGATGATTTTTCTCGTTTCACATGGGTTTATCCCTTGCGCACAAAAAATGAAGTGTTTACCCAGTTTCGTTTGTTTAAGCTCCTTGTTGAGAATCTGTTTAATGCCAAAATTAAAGTTTTTCAAAGTGATGGAGGGGGTGAGTTTGTTAATTTTCATATGCAACAATTTTTTGGGGAACATGGCATCTATTTCCAAAAATCTTGTCCTCATACTCCTCAACAAAACGGTGTTGCTGAACGTAAACATCGTCATCTCTTGGAACTTGCTAGGACTATGCTTATCACGGCCTCTATTCCTAGCACCTTTTGGGTTGATGCTATTTTTACAGCTGCTTATATTATTAATAGGCTTCCCTCTCCTACTCTTTTTGGTGCCTCACCCTATGAAAAACTTTTTCAAAAAGTCCCTGACTATAGTTCCTTACGAATTTTTGGTTGTGCATGTTATCCTAATTTCTCTGCCACTTCTTCTAACAAACTGTCTCCTCGGTCAGTTCAATGTGTTTTCCTTGGCTATGCATCTGGATTTAAAGGTTATCGTTGTTTTGAGCCCAAGTCGGGTAAAGTTTTTATAAGTAGACATGTTCGCTTTCATGAAAATATTTTTCCATACACCACTTTGTCTTCTTCTACGGGTCATACCACCTCTCCATCTCATTCTCTTGATCCTGAATTTACACTAACCAATACTGCTCCAAAATCCACAAGCCCAATTTCTTCTACTCTACCCTTTCCTTCAACCATACCCACCTCAGCCATACCCGAATCTTCCAGCCTCCCCACAACATCTCACCCAAGTCCATCCCCAACACCCGAGACCCCACCACCTGAGGCCCTACTGCATGCTCCTATTCCACACTCCTCTCCTATTCCTTCCCTTGTCCCCTTGACCGAGCAAGATGAAACTGCCCCACCCGATCCATCCCAGTCTGCTACATCCATGGCCGAACCATCTCCCATCCCTATACCTCAGAGCCAGATTATCAATAATCACCCCATGCAGACTAGGGCGAAGTCGGGCATTTTTAAGCCAAAAACAATTTTTAATTTGAACACAGTTGCTTTATCAGTTGATCCTACGTGTTTTACTGAGGCTACACTTTCATTGCTCTCCCTCTCCCCTTCACAGTCTTTCATCGCTCTCCCTCACCCTCTTCCATCGTTCTTCCTCTCCCCTTCACAAAGCAGCTCATGGCTTCCTTTCACACAAACAGGTGAACCATGCCGGTGAAGACCACCGCAAAGGAAAATAAACAGGAGCTCTACTTCTCATTATACACAAAGGAGCTCTACTTCTAATTTCGAATCAGCTAATTGTTTACCATATACCCTGTTTCTTTTTTTTTCATTATCATTCCGATTTTGCTGAATTTTCTCATCCTCACTGGATTTCATTCACTGAACAATTTCTTCCTCGCTTCTTTCTCTTTTCGGTCAGAGTAATCAAGATGCTCTCTCTATTTATATTCAAATTATTGATTATAGATAAATCTATTTATATTCAAATTATTGATTATAGATAAATCTATTTAGGGACGCAGATGAATCGGGAGCCAGCGAAGACCTTCATCTCTCTTCCTCTCACAACAACGAATCGATTAGGGCTTCATCTCTCCGAAAATTGCAGAGGGATCGGGAGCCGACGCATTAATCTAATCCCAAAATGCCGAAATCGTAGTTGAATTGACAGTCAACTTCGAAGGCTTTCATCTCTCTTCCCTTCTCAGCAACAAATCGATTAATCCTTCATCTAATCCTAAGATGCAGAAATGCCAGATGAATCAGGAGTCGACTTCGAAGGCACCATGGTTGCAGGTACTTTTTTTTAATTAATTTTATTGATTTTATCAATTATTTATATCAATTTCACTTATTTTTTTATTGATTCAACCAAAGATGGAACTATCTGCCCGATTCCCCTGTTTACATTTACTAGATCCCAGCAATTTTTTTATTTAATTTTTTATTATTAATTATTTTGATCAATTCTATTTTCTCAATTTCTTTATTCTATTATTTAATCACGATTGCTCTTACGTCTTAATTATTTAGTTTCTGTTCTCATCTTAAAATTAATTTTTTACAATTTACTGCAAAAACGACTCCTGCTAGGAGTCTAATAGGAGTCATTTGCTAATTGCTATGCCGTGAAATTCTCTACTCTTTAGGTTTCTTTTTTTCATTGTCTATTTAAAGCTCTCTCGCCCTAATCTTAAACGCACAATTTTATTGATCTACTTTCTATTCCTCTGCAAATAAAAATGGCTCCAGTAAAGCTTCCCTTGGCTAAACTCACCATGAAAGTTGATAAGAGGAAAGCAATTATTGTGCGTGTGTTGCGGAAGTGGGTCGTGCCTTATTCAGAAACAGATAATGGCACCAAGTTTGTTGAGCTTTTACTTGAAGACGATGAGGTAAATTTTAACAACCATCTGTTGTTAATCAGCATAATAAGAATGGGATTTTTTTGTGATTGTTTAAATCTGCATTCATTGATTTTTTTCATTAAGTTTTTCGTCCATCTTCTACCTGCTAATCAGCTCTTTGATATTTGGTTAGGTATTAGAAAGAACAAAAGTAGATTCCTCTTGAATTTGTGATTTCATGGTTAACAACAAATGATTAACCATAATATTAAATCTGCTTTACTCTAGATTTTTTATCAAGCCATTGGACATGTTAATTGAGATTAATTACTATTCTGATCAAAATTTATCTATATGTTTGTGGAGAGTAGAGTTATTAATGTTCTATGGCTTATTAAAAACTAAAACCTGAACAGTATGTTACTATGTTAACATTTTATTTTGATATAATATTGACATATACCTCTCCTGTTAAATAGGGTGATAGAATCCAGGCAACCGTCGAACAGCCACATGTCCCTATATTTGATGATCAAATAGAAGAAGGTGGTGTCTACGCGATAAATCTTTTCACTGTCCAAAGTAATGTCGGGCCATGGAGACCATGCTCTCATGCATTTAGGCTCTACTTCACAGAGAATACAAAGATAAAGCAACGAGTGGGAGACAAAACAAAACAGTTTAAAAGTACCCCGTATAAGCTTAAAAGCTTTTCTGAAATACAAAACAGTCCTGAAGAGAAAACACCGGATTTGTTTGGTAATATTATTACAAAAGCTACACTCCTCTTTGCGTTTGATTTATTTTCTCAAATAACTCTTCTCTCCACCATTACTAATACAGTTTTTTAATCTTTAAAGATGTCATTGGTGCATATGATCCAAGAGAGCGGCCTTTCAGTAGTACCCAGGGCGAACAAAAAAAGAAATGGTGCAACTTTTATATTCGTGACTTAGAGTTAAGTAACATTATATTTCTTTCAAAGTCTCATTTAATTTCTTTGAGTTTTTTCACAGTGTAAAGACTAATTTTAAATTCTTATGTGAGTAGGAATATGAAAATGCATTGCACTCTTTGGGAGAATCATGCGGAAACATTCATGAATTATCTGAAAACGCCCCGAACAGAGGCGGTTATTGTTTTGCTCCAGCTGTGTCGTGTTAACACACGATGGGGTAAGCGAAAATGAGAATGTGTTGTTTATCTACATATTTGTTTGTCACTTTTATGCCAGACTAAATTTGTTACTTTTTCAATTCGTTTTTTTTTTGTATTCCTAGGTGGTGGAACAAAGGGCATTTCAAGTTCATTTTATGCGACTAAGATGCTAATTGATGAGCATATCCCTGAAATTGAAGAATTTCGTGCGAGGTTTTCATTTGTGCTTTTTCATTTAATCCGACTTTTTCACCGTTCATAACATTCGTTTTTACAGATTTGCAGCCATGAGAAACCCATCTTCACGGTCCAACAGTGAAACACTGTCGGGGATATCATCTCATGTTGATGGAATTGAGATTGGTACTACAAAGAAACTTTCTGAATTAGCTACAACTAATGAGGTAATCAATGTATGGAAATATTTTTGAAGAACATATGCTTATTACCAATTAAGAAGATCAAACAAACACCAATATTATAATTAATAGTGTTGGTAATTATTTTAAATCTGCCTATCCAACTTTACAATAGTTAACACCAATGTTCTTAGTATTAGTGTTCTGAAAAATATGTGAGGTGCTGTAATGCTAATTTTCCACTATCCTTTGGAAGATATTATTTATTTAGATTCATTATCATGGTAACTGATTAATCTGATGCAACGTTTATTTTCTGCTATGACATTACTCCCTATGTTTTGAATGTGTGATTCATGTATCTGTACATATATGACACTGTCAGCAGATCCGCGGATGTTGGTTTTATGCTAAAGTCAAGTCAATCATCAACATAGACAATTGGTCTTATCTAAGCTGCTTCAATCCAAAGTGCTATAAGAAGGTATAGTGTTACCCCTTAAGTTTTGCTTTGTTAATGTCAATATGTTGGTTAGAATCTGCTAAAACACAGTTGGGAAAACAATGAAAAATAGTGTCTGTATCATTGCCCACCATTTTAGAAAGAACTTTCATATTATATAAAGTACATTGGGAGTCAATGATTCATAAGCTAAGGTATTGGATTATCAATTAGTCAAATTCAAAAATCCTATATCCAATGCATTTGTTATCAAAGAACTGAATGCCTAAGCAATACTGTCAGTCTGTGAAGTTGGAACTTTCCCCCAGAACACCACAAGTCCACCATCACATTAGACATAGGATTACATGATTTTATGCATATTTATGCTCCAAATCAATTCAGACCTATTGAGTTGCTTTTTTCCTGTCTTATACTTCTTTACAATAGTTGAAGAACTATTGTTGTTATTGAGAGAAATTAGCAATCAAAGTTGAAATAATGATCAGAAAATTACTACGATAACAATCACACACAAGAATGCCAAATTTTTAATGCATGTTCACCATATTTTATCAATAAAGTGAATGATGATTCTTCCAATGACTCTAATTGTATTTTAATACCCCGCATTTACTCAAGTCTGTGATGACCTGAATGCAAATCCTTGACTTCTTAAGTATGTGGATTTTATAGCCTGCCTGCTAAAACATGTGGATCCATATAGTTAAGAATTAAAAAAATGCATAGATATCACTCATATTAGGAAAAATATAAACAGGTGACCGGAAAGGAGGGGAATGAGTTGATTTGTAAATGCGGCTTGCGTTCTTCGGAAGGAATATGGTGTTATCTCTTGAAACTAAAGGTTGAGCATAAGCTTTGTAGCGCCGAAGTAGTATTTTGGGATCGAGAATGTAAGAGATTGTTGGGGAAGGATGCATGTGAATTCTCTGATCATCTTAACACGGTATTACATTCAGCTAACACCTCAGCTAACACCTCTACTGATTTAGAGCATTTATACATTTAGTTTGATGGTTTTGATTCTTCTTCAGGAAACATTTGGTCCTAAAAGTTGTCCTGAAGAGATAAAACAGCTGATTGGTAAGGAGTTTATATTTAAGATAGATCGTGAAGCTCCACCATCTGTTCATGGCAAAGTGTATTACTTAGGGGGGTCATCAGATAATATGGACAAAATAAGAGAGATCAAATCATCTTTTGATGAAAACTCGGAGTCAGAGGTAACCCTCTCAGAGATCGATATTAATTTATCTTATCTGTAGATCCTCTTACACAATTGAATAAACCTCTTAACCTAAAATCATAAACTGTGTGCAGGAAGAGGGGTACAATTCTGATTACGATCTGGATTTGCTGGATGATGATGCTCCAACTCCAGTTGAATCAAATATGGTATGTTTTAATATCCAAGTGAAAATTTCAGATCCCAATTGGTCATTTATTTACTTGGAATACATTCAAGTCCTCTTAAGTCAGATCTAAAATACTAAATGAGAAGAAAGCGAGTAACTTACGCAAAGAGAAATCCCGGGAAATTCAAAAAAATGTGCTTACAGTATATTTGACTTTACTTTAGGATAGCAATACATATCAGCTTCTCTTAACTATGAATAGGCAAAAAAAATTAATCTCCTTTGAATTAACATTATATGACCACAGCTTCGCACGGGATGAAAACAATATAAAAAAAATGGGCATCCAAAGAAAACAACATATGAAACCTTTCTAAATTTTATAGAAAACAAACTGTTAAGAGATGTCCTATGTGCTGTGTCTGGTATGAAAATGGGACACTGCGTTTATTCATGCGAGGGACATCTGGGTTTATTTCATGGGGGTTATGGAAGTTGGTATATACCACGTACAATTTATTAACGCATTAAAAGAACCAAAATATAAATACAATGAATGATTTGTTTTGAAGATTGTTTATAAACAATTTAAAGAATAGAAACTTTGTGAACAATATGTTAAAAAGAGACTTGCCTTTGTTGTTTTTTCTTTAATGAAGAAACTGATGACATAGCCAGTTCATTCTAAGAATACTATCATACATTAAAGATTCAAGTATCCTGCACTTCAATTTATTCCAAGAATAAATTGAATTGATTTTGTTTTTATGTTACTGCAGACAGTTATCTCCGAAGAAATTGAGGACGTTAAGAGTACTCCACAATCATTGTCTAAGCGACCGTCTGAAGACGAGATTGATTGTGTTGAAGTTGGTGCATCCACTCAAGGTTCAACTACTAAGAAGCTCAAAGCAGTGAAGATAGAGAAGTCATAAATTATTATTCGCCTTTGTTTTTTTGGTTTCACTTTTGGATTATGCATTTTAATAAATTTTCATTATTTTGTTTTAGATTTAGACGTTTTCATCAAATCATTTAGTTGAATGTTTGTCTTGCTATTCACAATAATAAATAGTTTGCTTTGGAAGTATTATGTGGCTGTCGTTAGCATTATGTTATTTAAGTAAGGCTTTGGCCTTACTTATAACTAACATTTTGCTAGCATATTGTTAGCAAAATTGTTAGCATATTGTTCTAGCTGCTAGATATCTCTTTGTTCTAAAAAATAGTTTCTCTTTTTTTTTTCAGCTACATGTTATTTTCATAGAATCATAAAAAGAACTACAGATTATTTTTGAATAAATTCTCTTTTACTTTCAAATTTTAGAATTCGTACTTCTAAATGATTACATATTAGTAATAATAATAATGGTGTTCATCCTTATTTATTCACTACTCTTTGGGATATAATATGTTGATGATAATATTCAGCTCTTTTAAATCGGAATAGTCTGAAAGATATAATATGTTGATGATAATGTTCAAATTTTTCAAAGATATAATGGTGTTCATCCTTATTTATTCACTACTATTTAGGATATAATATGTTGATGATAGTATTTAGCTCTTTTATAAAAAAAAAATTGAAATACAAGTAAAAAAAACTAAAATTGATTGAAAGAGTAAGGATGTTTTTACTTGGACTGTAATTTGTCCCAGACCAGATCAGATCAGACCAGACTTGGGTAGTTATAAAAATACAAAGAAACCAGACCAGTTCAGACCAGATCAGACCAGACCAGACCAGCAAATTACAATCCAAGTAAAAACATTCTAATACTACATAGTAATTAATGAAAATATCAATTGTATACGTTATTTTACTGGCCTAGGAGTAGATGATATTATCTAATGAAAATACTTAAAAAGCAATAATTAGAATTAGAGTTTCAAGCATTTTGTACTTCTAAAAATGGGATGTACGTGTTTGTTATTCATAATAATACTCCTAAGCTAGAAAATGTTGTGACATACTTAAGCTCAGATTCAGCATCATCTTCTGACTCAGACAGTGCACTCCTTCAAGAGATCCACTCTCCCGAATTTCTCAATACCATTAAATGCTCTGGTGTGCCAAGCCATGAGCTGAAGCTCAAAGTGGGTGCACCTGTGATGCTAATGAGGAATATTGATCATTCCTCCGGATTGTGTAATGGCACTCGCCTAATCGTCACTAAACTTGGAACACATATTCTCGAGGCTCAGATGATGTCTGGAACAAATGCAGGGAAAAGATTTCTTATTCCGAAGCTTAGCTTGACTCCATCCGACCTAAAGCTGCCGTTCACATTTCAGCGTAGACAGTTCCCTTTGATGCTTAGTTACGCGATGACAATTAATAAAAGTCAGGGCCAGTCTTTGGAGAGGGTTGGTGTTTTCTTACGTCGCCCGGTATTCACCCATGGACAACTTTACGTCGCGGTCTCAAGAGTGACGTCCCCGTCTGGGTTGAAATTTGTTATATGTGATGATGATGGAAAACCGGCCAAGAAGATTATAAATGTGGTTTACAAGGAAGTATATAACAATTTATAATTTTTTTTATATTTATTTACTTTTGTTACAAACAAAATATACACTGATCTCTATTTGTCACAACATTTTCTTATGTTCTCAATTTTTTTATTGCTTACTAACTGCATCCCGTGCGAAGCACGGGTGAAAATCTAGTTAATTAAATAAAAAATGTTATCTCTTTTTCCCTCCTAATCTCTTTTTCTTTTGTTTTCCGAACTACTCTTGAGAGAGTAGATGCAAATCACTTCAACACCATTAAGTGTCTCTTAGGTTCCCAACACAAATTTTGGGTAAAATGTCCCTCATTTGTCCATGCTTAAGCTTTGATTCTATATTAATCATTCACTCAAGCTAGTAGCAATTTTGGACAAAATATATACTACCAATTCAATTATGATTTAAAATTCTTTGGTGACTAGTTTTACTTTTTAAAGCTCTTTAATTAATAGCTTGATTTAAAATTTAAAACTCAAAACTACAATAGATGGTGTTAAATATAATGTGGGGGTGTGATCCATACATATCATTAAACCAGCTAAGCTAGCCCATGGAATCTTTCCAACTAATTTCTGAGACGAAGGGGTGCTGGCCATTTAAACTTGTGTGGGCATTGAATGAAGAGGCCGGTATTGAATGAGATTAGTTGAGAAATTGTCGTTGGTAGGGAGAAGGAGGTGCCATTGAACAGAATGACGTACGAGAGCTGGCAGGGCCTCCTCAGTCAAAAACAATTTTATTGTTTTTATTATACGTATGTGTTTATTAATATTATTATTAATGACATTATTATTTTGCAAGAAATACTTCATCCGTTCTTTTTTAATTGCAACATTCCCCTTTTCACGTTTGACAACGCACAAGTTTAACCGTCATTATATTTAATTCTGCATTAGTAAAAATAAACCAAAAATCAGATTATAAAACTTAGTATTGAGAAGAATTTAACAATATTTTTTCAGAAAAATAATAATTCATATATATTAATAAATAAAATGAAGTCAAAGTAAAGTGCATGAAAAGTGTATATATTTCAATGTTGCACTAATGCGATATGGAGGATAGTACTACATTAATAATAAACTAGGGTTTTAATAGCAAGTTACTACATGTCAACAATGGTTATATATATCATGGGGGTGTTAATAACGTGAAGGATATATTGTTCCCTAGGTTACCACCCCATGTTATTTGGCAAATGTCTCGAATTCCAATTCACTTCCGCTATAATCTATCTTCCCGTCCGATCTTTTTAAGTTTGCGGTGTGGTTTACTATTAAAACTGTTTACAATGGTGGACTCCCTTTGTTCAAGAGTACTGTTCAGCTGAACATCAATCCAAAATTTTGAAAATAAAATGTAAAAGCACATATAGAATGATGTAATGATTTATACTACGTATAGTACTACGTAGTACATATTTTTCATAAACATTTGTTACCGTAAAGATTCTAAACCCAATGTGCTAGTTTTTGTAGTTGAAAAATTTTAAAATTTCTTCAAATTTGTTGAATCAAATGGTATATATTATTGTGTAATATTTTAGTAAAAATAATTTTAAACACCCAAAATTTTATTACAAGGTCCGTCACGGTCACTGACTGTTTACGTCTAGTCTGATCAAATTTAAGTGTGGTCAAATTAAAGAAACCGATTCGAGTATACCCTATAATATCTGATACGAGATCGTTTCCGATACATTCATACGGTACCCTAGCTTAATCAAGTATCCGCTACAAAAATTAAACCGGTTTACGTCTAGTCTCATCTATTTAAGTCTGATCAAATTAGTGGAACAGATCCGATCGAGTACCCTTCGTAGCAACCCCACCAAGAATTGGAGGCAAATAACTTAAGTTTTTTGCTAGAGGTCTACAAAATGTGTACACATGTCTGTTCTTCACAGAAATTTTGTCTGTCACAAACAACTCATTATGAATTGTCTATGACAGACAAAATTTCTGTAAAGGACATACATGTGTACACATTTTGTGTACACATTTTGTGTAACTCTACCATTTTTCAATACCTTATTATGATTTGTACGTATGTCATTATTTATTGTGCAAGAGTGCGAGTGTGAGTAAGGCTCAGAGCGGTGAAAAGAAGACGATGACCAGTAGTTGAGCTTTGACTTTCTATAGAGATAGGGCCAATAGTATGTAGTCATCACTGGTTTGAATAAATAAATGAGAAAGTCAACCCTTATGCCTTGCGAACATAACAAACTAACATTTGGTGAATGGGAATTCGAGACCCGGCCACTCTCTGCATGCCAATCTGCACCTGATGAGCGAAGATTTGCAGTACCAAATGCGCTAAGGTCAACGCCTGAAATAAAAACCGGTGAACGGTTTTTTAATTGGTCAAAGAGTTAAATGAATCAGTCCATCCGTTTCAGCTCACTCGTTCAACTACAAACTACTTCATTCAAATGAATTTAGAAGGTCATCTTTGGATTGTCTGATCTTCTAGGGGTTTCTAATTTGGCAAACAACCCAACATCCGTTTTTTTGGTTTTTCAATGTGGATTTGACTAGTTTGGTTTGTGAAATTGGTGAAGCAGTTATTTTTAGAGCCTCTTGAAGATAATGTTTTTCGACTTATCGGGCTCATAGTCATTTTTTTCGTTAAACATGTAACTCTTAATTTCACGCGCATCACAAAAAATTTACGAGATTGACATGGAATTTGGCACGGATCTATCGATTTTTCGTGCCAAATAGCTCGTGCCAAAGTGTTTTTTTGGCACGGATTTGGCATATAACTATCAAAATCTCTGCCAAATCCCAACCAATCTCATGTTTTTTTTGTAGCGGCGCTACATTGTGTAATAATAAGAAAAAATAAGGTTAAAATTACTTTTCTGACTATATTGACTGAAGTTACTGTAAATGATCATTTTATCTATTTTTTTCTTTATTTTATTAATAGAATATATTATATATATATGTTTTCATAAATTAGCAGAATCGGTCCATCAAGTCATTTCGATCAGAACTTCATAAATTTCACCAAAATCAGCCCAGTGTTATCAAACGGGATGTTGGTGTTTGATAAGTGAATTTTTTATTTGACTACTTGATGTAAGATAGTTAAAAATGAAAAATTACTTTCAGTGTCTTTTTTATAATGACTTGTTTATTTTATACGGAGTATTTTTAAAGCCTAATATACCCTATTACCCTTCCATTTTACTTCATTTATTGACAATTTATAAACTATTTAGAAATCATAATGTTAATGAAAGAAAATAAAAATAGTTATGACCGTGTAATAAGAATGATAAGAAATACGGAGTATCATAACGAATTTTATTGCAATTTTGTATTAATATATAAGAGGTAGTAAACATAATCATATTTAAAATAATAATAATAAAACTAAATGAATATGTATGCACACAAATATGTCTATATTTAG